GTACGTACAGAATTTCATTCATTACTGTAATTGGTTTTTGGGCACTCAATATATAATAACAGTATATTGCAGAAATTTACCACTTTCATATATGCACGTACGTATTTCCTATTTTATTTATTTATTTATCCTTTTTATTAGTTACAAAAACAATGTTCCGTTTAAAAAAAAAACAAAAAAAAGAAACGAATTGGAACCCTTTTTCGTGCTTGGGTATACAATTATGTACTTATGTTTACATGTATGTAAAATTGTTTGAGATAAGCTAAAGTAGGAATTGAGGAGGGTAGTCTGAAAAGAAAAGAACAGATAATGTTAGTGACAGGTATTGTTATAAAAAATAAATCAAAATTCGCAGTATGATAAGTTACGAAAGCATGTTAGTCACGAAGAGTTTATGGGTGTTAAATGATACATTCATGCTCGATTTGTAACCACCTCATCCTTAATAGTGTGTTTTTTTGTGTATGAAATTCAACAAATTTATTTTACTAATATCCAACAGTACAGACAGTGTGTCGCCATCTAGCTGGTATTTGCTGTTACTTAACTATACTTAAAATACGTTCTTGTTTATTTTTCTGTTATAAAATTGTGGACCAAATATTGACGCAGTAAAAAATAATAAAACATTCATTTAAATGTGTTCTAAAGACTTTATAACCTTTATCCCCTGCCTTCTGTGTGCTACTAGATAGAAAATGCGTAGGTATGAAGCAGTAGAAAAGGTAAAAGTACCAAGAATATAGTTTAGAAGTAAACATTAAACTAAATTTCGTCTTTTAATTTAAGTAACATTAAATATTTAAGAAAGTAGCATAATAGGCATATTTCGATAAACCAGAAAAACTTTTATCAAATCTCATTTCCTATTTATTTCCAAAATTGAGAAGCAGGAGCAGATTAAGTCAAGCGGTACTAACTTCGGGGCTCTCAACCTCATTCAGTTTTTTTTTTATTAAAATTGCGTACGTTTGAACATTTAAAAACAATCTTATATAAATTAAAACGAGATCATAAAAACTGATGCACACCATTACTTACAAAACTTCAACAAGACAGTAATGTTGTGGATAATCCTTTTAGTGATATCTATTTCATTCCTTCCCTTAATTTTTGTTAAATCAGAGCCATGATAGGTTTAGGCCTTTATATTATATCCTTGAAAAAGACTGAAAACAATAGGCGAAACGTCGGATGTGGTTTAAAAATAAATAAATTATTTATCCTTTATCATGGCTCTGGTTTAACATAATCTTTTTGGGTAAGTCGCAAATACTTTATAGAAATATAAAAAAACAATTTTCTTCGAACTACCACGAAAACATATTTTAAGAAACTTTTGTTATTTCGTAACCCTAATTAGTCCGTTTACCACTTAATCCACCACCATTGAGAACCATCATTAATACTTTTATATTTTAATTCTAAAAATTATGCGACACTATCTTCATTTAAATTTATTTCTTCCATACTGTCTTCAGTTAATTTAATTTTACCTTTTTTCGTCCTTGGCGGGGCTTTAGGAAATTGTCCGTTATTATTCGTGAAATTAATGCTCCTTAAGGTCCCACCGGACTTGGTATTTTGAGACGACACCGTGTCCGAGTCGTCGCCCTTAATCCACCCTTTAATCCTACCACCAATCTGATAGTAGTGAATATATAGTAGGAACAAAATTAGCGATACTACTAAAAAAGTAATAACAGAAATAAAAATGGCCACAATAGGGTTGTAAGACTCTTCGGGGGTAGGCAGTTCTGTTGGGACAACCACAGTTGTTGTTGGGACCGCGGGGTATTGCGTGGCTGTTGTGGGGACGTAAACCGGGGGGGTTGTTTCGATAGGGGGTGTCATTTCTGGTACATTCTTGCCCGATATGGTAACGTCTGCACAAGCCCTGAATTCTTCTTGGGGACCGCACCCTACTGCTTCAGTACCGTTGGGACATTGTCCCCAATTGTTTCCTGATTTAAAAAATTACATAGGTTAGATTAGATCGTAGGTGAAAAAAAAGGTAAAATTTACCTGCAATATACCTCCATTGTAGAACACAATGTTCACAGGACATTTTGGGGAGTCTGTATTTGATTTCGTAAACCCTGTTACCTTCCTTGGGGTAATATTTGACCGATTTATGTTCTACATCGGACTGGGGCTTGGCAAGGGTCAAAATATTCTTATCCAAACAATATTGCGTCGTATTCTTGTAATCTGGACAAAGTGAAAATATGAAGTAACCATTGTGGTTTGCTGTCAGTTCAACTCTTATGTTCATGATGCCACCCGGGTTGTATTTTCTAACTATCACACCCTGACCGTACGTCCCGCCGTATTCGTGAGGTCGCGGAAGTCTAAAATTAAATGTGATATTAACATTCGTATAAATAAGGGTTAAATGTATCATATTTACTTGGAGTCCCATGCGTCGCCGCATACCCCACATTTTCCCCCATTTTGGATCCATTGTCTACTAAACCCCCCACAAAATAATTCGTGGTCGTTATAGTTGTGGGGGGTGTCGAATCCATATCTCCAAGCCGATGCTCTACTGGGGGGCTCTATTAGTCTACCATGACCGTCTGCTAATGGTATAAGGAAACATAATAATGGCACGAAAATGAATGCCTTCATTCTGCAAAAGAAAATTGAAATTGTCACAAATATCACAGCTTTTTTTTGGTATAAGATATAAAATCATTGATAATGTTAACGTGATAATTCATTTTCAGTTGTTAACCACTACAAACTACCTCAAGTTAAAGAGGGAAAATTTGTTGCTGTCGCCGGGAATCGAACTCGGAACCCTTGGCTTTACGCACCAATGTCCTGCCATTCCGAGTTCGATTCCCGGCGACAGCAACAAATTTTCCCTCAATAACTTGAGGTAGTTTATAGTGATTAACAACTGAAAATTAATTTTTACACTAATATTTGACATTACATTTCATATATATAGTATTAATTAACAATGTTGTCAATAAGTAATTTTGTGAAAACATTCCAGTATTTCTTGTTTTTTTTTTTTTTTTTAACGCGTTTAACAATTGTTGCCCTGTTGAAAGTTTTAATTAAAACTTTTAATTCATTTTTAATATACAAATTCATTAATTTATCCAAATGCATATCTTCAAGTAATCGTTTAATAATGACATAATAAAAAATAATTAAAAAAAGCTACCACTAACAATGCACTTCAATTAACATAATGTGTGTGTAGCTAATACAACATTTTTCTAGAAATACAGAAATAGAAATTTGACATATATGTTCGATACATGTATGCATGTTATTAAGTGCTCCGATAACAGCATGCCATGTACCTATCATACAAGATATTATATGCATAGCATGTTTATTTTATATTTTTATGCAATAAAAAGTTACTTTTAATTATATGTTTGAACTTTTGTAATAGCGGAGTACCCAATTCACGTAAGTAGTCAAGGTGACTTACGAGATAGACTGCGAGTAATACCGTTCACCAATAAATTATTATGTAATTTCTATTTTACATTAATAATAAAAAAAAATATGTCAACTAACTCTTGACTTTGCAACTTACCACATGCAATATTTATACATATTGTATTTGAAATCTAAATTACAAAAGCAGAGATGTGATTTATTTGAAATACTTACATTTAAAATGCAAATACAAAATAAAAAATACCTTTTTTTATCTTACATTTAAATACTTTTTTGTATTTTATTTTGAAATTACGTATTTTGCATTTAGCATTTAAAATACAAAAGGGAAATCTATTTTGTATTTTACATTTAATATAACAAATCAAAAAAGTATTTGCATTTTGTATTTAAATACTTAAAAAAAAGCATTTTGTAGATTTCTAAGATACAAAAGATTCTGATAATTTTTCTCATTATAAGTTTTTTAGTCTAATAAGTAACAACAGAGTTATTAGAAATTAAAAATTGACCAATAGGGGTATGCTTGCTTTGCTGCAAGCAGAAGTAACAATTGCAGCAAAGTAAGGATACCGTGATTGGTTGACGACTTTACATTTTGAATCGTAAATAGTTCGGTAATTAGAGATGGGATTGAAAAACTAAAAAAGGATAATACTATTACAATTTATGGTGTACCTTAACCGACGATGTTTTCTAAATATCAAACATATACAGGGCGTTTTTATTAATGACTTTATTCTGTAAATATTCATTAGAGATTAAAAAAATAACATTCCTAGGGGGTAATTGTACATTCTACGTGTTATAAGAATTAAACAATGTGATAAGAATCGAAATAGAAGAAGAAAAACAACAAATAAATTAAATTGCGTGTTGTTGTCAATCATTATGATGAATTAGAAGAAGCAGTAATGATAATTGTGGGAACATTTAAAGTAGAAAGTGCAAAGGTTATTATTTCAACAATTAAAATCAATCGTAATTATTTGCGTCATAGTTTACGTGAAAGGAAATTGCAATCTAAATAAATGGAGCAGATATTATCAATAATGGTAAATAAAGATCAAAGAAACAAATGCGATTTTTACTAACGATAAGAGTAAGTAAATAAAATACACAAAAGACAAAACACGTTTAAATGTACTTGTACTTACTAAAAATTTGGGTGAATGCGCCTGGCAGTTAGTACAAATTTTACTTTTAATAACGTAAAAAATACTAGTAAAAATTTTTTGTTCCCAATGTCAAATAGAAAACCCTTTAGTTATTCATCTGGAATGAGAAGTAATTCAAATTGTTGCATAATTATCGAGAAAATTAAACGAGAATGTGGAGACTTCAATGATCGGTCAAGACACGAACTTCGCACAAAATGTAAAATTACCAATTTTTTAAGGTAAAAATCGTAAAATAAATAAAAAAAGCTCTTTCTATTAGTTCGTGAGAGGTTGCAAAGGTGCAAAAATTAAGATAAAAATGCAATTATTACCACTAATAAGATCTTTTATGCTCTATATAATTAANAATTCGAGCCAATGTTCGTTCACAGGTTGAGCCCGTTTAATTCTGTACATTACACACGCTATCTCCTTCTGCATACTGTCTCTTTTTTTTTTGAATTGAACAAAAGTCATAGCTTTGTAGTTGTCATAATGACTTGTGATACGTAAATCAATTTGGCGCAATGACAAAATGAAAAATTACTTTAGTTCTCTATTTTCAAATCATAAAGTTCTTGAGAATGAATGTTACCATTTTTTCAAAAAAGTCCCCATCAGGTGCTGTCCATTATGCAGTATGTCTGGTACCGGTACGGTCATAAAACAAAATGTAATAGAGCCTGTTGATTTGGCCTATGTGTCATACGAATCTACAGAGAGTGTACCCCAGACGCCCCCTCTTCTTATAATGCATTGCCTTTGTGGCTCGAAAGCCAATTGGACAACAACATCGAGAGCATTACAAAAAGAGACGAAGCCTCAACGAAAAATAATTGTTGTAGATGCAAGGAATCATGGCGACAGTCCCCACTCTGACTTTCATAAGTATGAACATCTAGCAGAGGATGTTAAAACGTTAATGAATAAGATGGATGTGAAGAAAGCGGCCCTTTTGGGCCATTCCATGGGCGGAAGAGCCATGATGTATACGGCACTTAAATATGTAAGAAAAGACTCAATTTGAACTACCGAAATTACCAATATACGAGATACATCAGTCCCAATTTTTAGCCTGACTTAGTAGAAAAGTTAATCTCCGTGGACATTTCCCCTATAAGAACAACAGAATCATTCAAGGCTGCTGCTCAAATAATGCAGGCAATGCAAAATGTAAAATTTCCAACAAGGGTTACTTTAGAAGAAGCCAAAACGAGTGCTGATATGCAACTGGCCATGTCTATCCATAATAAACTCGTTAGAAGTTTTGTATTGACGAATCTCGTCGAAGAATCAAATGGAAAGTAAGTGGGATCATACAGGAACAGGCTATACTAGTTTGTCAAACCTTTGACCAATTTTTAGGTTTGCATGGCGTGTAAATATCCCCGGTCTTTTAAGAAATAGGAAATATATCTTTTCGTTTCCTGATGTTAAAGGGTTAACTTATTCGGGTCCGACGTTATTCATAACTGGGAAATTGTCCGATTTCGTTCAGTAAGTAGCACAATAGTTACCTATCTATTCACTGTTTACGTGAACTGTTTCTTATTTAGAGAAAAAGACCATAAAGGAATCTTGGAGTTATTTCCAAAAGCTGAATTTCGTTCTGTTGACAATTCAGGACATTGGGTGCATAATGAAAAACCAAAGGAATTCCTCAATATATGTACAGATTTTCTATCGAAATAAAACTGGTAATAAATATATTAGCTATTTCTTGAAGTATTATATATGAATTTGTGCTCATATGTTTAAAAGAGTAAATAAATTCCATCAAAAACGTATTATACAAAAAGTACCATTATTTAGGGACCGTACATAAAATACGTTCGTAAATAAGGGAGAAGGAGGGGTATTGCTTAGCAAAACGAGATGACTAGGAGGGTTGCGGAAAAAGATCGAAAAAACTTATGCTGGCAACCTTGTATGGTCCCGCAACGACTTTTGCACAAAATGAAAGTATACGACGCGGTTATAAGAACATGTCTACCAACCGCCACGTTAAACAAATGCATTATGTATGTTATGGATACATTTTACATGTGTACAAATCGCAGTAGGCTGGTGACCGGTTACTTTTCCTATATTTTTAGTCTCAGAAGTACTATTAGAGTCAATTAAAGGCGAATTACGTAACAGCATTAGATAAAGGCGTGGCGATCTTAACAACAATAAATTAACAATACCAAATACTAATTATAATGTCTACAAAGTAACAATATTCTATATTTTAAAACTGATTTGACATTTAGTATTAATTTAGAGCTTAATTTAAGGAAGAAACTGTATGAAGTTCAAAAAGATCTNTAAACAATTAAATAATCAATATCGAAAACGTATTAATGCTTTGAAGTAGTTCTTATCATTTTTTGACTGTTACAATTACTTGAAAATAATAACAGACAAGAACGCTAGATGATAACGTCTCCACGATGGAATTAAATAGAAAATGCTAATTGTTTATGCAGCTTAGTGGATACCACAATCTACGGGTGCTTATGGTGGCCAGTTTCGGTTGATAAATTTGCACGGGTGAGAGAACCCACAAGGTCTAATGTTGTTAATGAGACACAGAAGTGAATGTGGTCTATCTAATAGGTAATTTTGTCGACCATCACGACTATCTAACTTACATATTTGTGGACGAATACATAATAAGTTAAAAACCAAAACGATCTGGTTACCAATTAACTTAATATTGTTGTCCAAGAATTCTAAGAATAATGATAAAAAAATAAGGTCATTTATATGTCCTTTCTACAAATAATAGACATATTTCTCAATGGAAAAGGTTTAGTGTTAACGGAATGTTGTGGATTTTGGGGTGATCTCCCTATCAACATCACAGTGAACAACTGTGATGGCCACCCTTCACATCCCTTCAAAGTCTTGAAATTTCGATTGGTACCTATATGAAATGAAGCTATTTCGCCTTTTTTTTCTCAGATCTAATAACTTTCATTTATCGAAAATTCAAAATATTGTAGGGATGATCGCCAGGATTTCTCATTTCGATGCTGATGGGGGACAACCCACGACACCCCCCAATAGTTATCCACCCCCTCTGGCCTCCGTTACTTTTTTCATAATTTTTTAACTTGTCTTGAAGAGAAAAGCAGTAGAAATCATCAATTAATAATATTGTAGATACATTATTATAATTGCTTAATTAGCATGCATTTACTAGGGATAATTTCAATGATTTGCTTCCTGAAGCATTCGGCTTTTCTGTAGGTATATTTACATTTACCTCGTTATCGTTTAACAACGAAAGAATTGAGGCTAAATTAACGATAGTTTCCTCTACCGGTGAAATTAAACGCAGTTTGAAATGCTTTATTTGTCCGTACGTGAACAAAATGTATAAACAAACACCTCTAACGATACAGTAATCAGAAAAAGTTGCTGATTCGTTACAACTATTTCGTATGCTACAGTTGAAAGTGCTGAAAGTACAACTAATAAAATAATTAATGAACCACTGATAGATGACAACTAATGGATTTTGAAGTTAGTAACAATGAAAAAGGGCGTGTTTTCTGTATTACACTGACGAATAATTGAAGATCAGTAACAACAAGCAGTTGTTACCCTTGTTGCTATTGGCTGTTGCCATGGATCGTACTAAACTAACGTAACTGATTATCAATTAACTTTTTGTTGTGCCATTGCTTATGAAATAGACTGTAGGTACAGTATATTTTTGTAACATAGCGTCTTTTTTCTTCGCTTAACGGAAAAGTGAATGTCGAAGGAAAGTACCTATAGATGATAAATGATTTTCGTGGTGATCAATTTAAAAAATTGCTACATGTAGGAGTTATTAACAACAGCTGGTTATTGGACTTTTATTAGCAGCATTGAGTAATTTACAAATTCATCATCCATAAAAAAACTTTCAAATTGAGAAATTGTAAACGACTAAGTGTCAATGAATTTTTTTAAACTTATTTTTAATCAAATCAAGGTAATCAAATACATGACAGATAATTCGTTAATTCCTTAGAATTTTCAAAAATAAAACAAGTAGCATTTATGCTTAAGTTTATTAATCTAATGTAAATAAAAACAATATAATTGTAATTCACAACACAACACACTAAAAACGTTCAGTTGTCCTTGGTAAGTTGAAAAGTTCGACAAGAAGGTCGAATAATACATATTTAAATTCAACAAGAACTAGTTTAATAAAACAGCTTACTTTCATTGGTTATTGATAAACATTTATAAACGCAAAATAACAATTGACTATGGCTGCAGTAAATTTTAAGATACAGTTTGTAAGTCCATCACAGATCCAGTTTTAAATACTTTCTATCTACCTGTAACTAAACCTACTAGAAGGAATATCATTACATTCAATCGTCAACCTTAATTGTTTTTCCATTACTTAATGATAATTTAATTGAAAATTACATATTATGGTAAATGATTAAGTATCAATATATTATTATTTCTTTGAATCAGTTTTACTAGGTCCCCGAAATAAAAAAAAAAATACTGGTATGCAAGGGAAGAAAAAGTAGGGAAAGAGCGAATATAAAGATAGGAGACGAAAGATTACAAGAAGTGGCTGATTTCAGCATCTAAGAAGTCAGATAAGTCAGAACGGAAGGAGTAGTAGGGATATAAATCAAAGGATAGCTCAGGGTCGTGTCGCCTTCAATAAAAAGAAGTTACTTCTATGCTCGCGAATGGTTAATTTAGAAATTCGAAAAATATTGTTAAAGGACTATGTTTGGAGCGCGGCGCTGTACGGGTGCGAAATCTGGACGGTGGGCGCTGCGGAAAAGAAAAGGTTAGAAGCGTTCGAAATGTGGTGTTGCAGACGAATGTTGAGGATACCGTGGATAGAGAAGGTTAGAAATGAAGAGGTATTAGAAAGAATAGGAGAACAGAGGACTCTATGGAAGTCAATAAGTAATAGGCGAAGTAGGTTGGTAGGACACCTTCTCAGGCATGAAGGTCTAGTCAGAGACATACTAGAGATAGAAACGGGAGTTAGGGGGGGTAGAGGGAGACCTAGATTAGATTACTGTTCACAAATAGTTAAAGATGCGGGTTGTTCCAGTTTTAGGGAAATGCTGAGATAGCTCAGGATAGGAAAGAGTGGAGGTACGTGTCTAACCAGTCTTAGGACTTACGGCCTTATGACGATGATGATGATAATTGAATGCAAGATGCATATGTATTTTGCAAGCCGTGCGTCTATTTCAAAAGACCTTTCCTATTCGATAGTTAATTGCAAATCGTGATTACTAAATAATGTAATGTAACATACGGATTGAAGATGTTCCTGCATTATTATTATCATCATGAAAAAGGAGTGAAACCGAGGGTATTACACACTACGATTACACTGAACTGAACTTTGTTGCCTAATTTTAAGCAGGACAAGTGCTGGAATTAATTATAATCTAATTGCACAATATTAATACAGGTTATTGTTGGTTAATTTAATTCGTAGTTAAATTTCATAAATCGATATTATTGATTTTCTCAAAACAACTGTCGATGACAAATCATAAAATTTATAGCTATATAATTAATTAATCTTCAGACCAACCTGCTTGTGTTTCGCAAGTTTTTGACTGTTACAATTACTTGAAAATAATAACAGACAAGAACGCTAGATGATAACGTCTCCACGATGGAATTAAATAGAAAATGCTAATTGTTTATGCAGCTTAGTGGATACCACAATCTACGGGTGCTTATGGTGGCCAGTNGTAATTTAGAGGAATTTTGTAGGCATTAGAAGATTTAAAAGTTATTATCAAACTAGGTTGTATGTTATGGTACAAAATAGGAAGTAGAATTGGTTTATTGAACTTCAATTACGACATTTTTTCGTAAGGTGATTTCTCGTTAAGTGACTTTTTTATTTTAAAAAGTTGAAGCAATAAAAATTTATTTTTATGGTTTAAATTGAGATTGATGTATTGTACATTTTATGTTCTCAAATAACTCCATAAAACCTATTGGTCGTAAAACCTATCATGGTCATGTAAATGTTGGTTTTAATTCAAATGTAAAAAGGTACAAACGTTCAAATAAAGATAGAACAGGATGAATCAGTTTCCACCTCGGATACGATCTCCTTCAATATACTTACTTGCTCTTTTTGTGCAGTCAATAGTGCATTACAACTGTATTAATTTAAATTTTGGTGTCAAGTCTCATTAAAATGTTTAATTGAAATAAATATGGTCTTTTTGGTTTTTAGGACTGCGCTATATGTTATACAAACACTTTCGGGGTTGGTTTTAGTGTAAGGTAGCGGGCACGAGAGGGTATAAGGGAAGAAGAAGGAGATAGGAAATCTTCCTTCCAATAGGGCAGATGTGAAAACAAAAATATGGTCTTTTTGACTTTTGGAGTCACGCTATATACCATACAAACTTTTCCGGGATTGGTTTTAGTAACTTGCGGCAAGATAGTGGGAACGAGCGGGGATATGGGGAGAATAATAGGGGTGGAAAACTGTCCTCATAATTTGGGGGAATTGTGGAAACAAAAAATATGGTCTTTTTGGCTCTTGGAGCCACGATATATACGACACAAACTTTTCTAGGGTTGGTTTTAATAACTCAAGGAGGTAGCAAGATTATCTCTTCAATAGGGGCGGTGTGAAAACAAAAATTCAGACTTTTTGGCTTTTGGAATCACGCTATATATCACACAAACTTTCATGGGATTGGTATTAGTAACTTACGGCGAGATAGTGGGTACGAGAGGGAATAAGGGGAGAATAACAGGGGTGGAAAACTTTCCTTGCAATTGGGGTAAGTGTAGAAACAAAAATTATGGTCTTTTTGGCTCGTGGAGCCACGCTATACACTATACAAACTTTTCCGGGGTTGGTGTTAGTAATTTACGACAAGATAAAGGGTAGAAGAGGGGCTAGGGGGAGAAGAAGGGGGTAGCAAAATCGTTTCTCCAATAGGGGCGGTGTGAAAACAAAAATATGAACTTTTTGGCTTTTGGAGCCGCACTATATACGAAACCTTTCGTAGAATTAATTGGTGATGCATGCCCAAATATTATTGTATGTAATAAATTAACCACAGATTGTCCAATAAGACAGGAAAAGCGATAATAAAAGAATGTTTTCTTTGAACGTGACTCAGGCTAATAATAATTAAATGAGATACGAAGGATGATTCAGTTTTTATTACATTCGTAATTCGTATTTTATTTGAAGGCGTTTCTGATGCATGCATCAGACAAGTTCAATGTCATCAGGCGCTGCCTAGACTTGGACGAGAATAGAACTCATCACTATTCGGGCATTCAAATGTATGGAAATTTGTTTTGTGAATATTTTAATTTAGTTATTCTAATTAGTTGCAAATTTGTAATACATTGGCCGAGTTCAGGTTCGAACAGTTTTGAAAATATTCCAAAATATATAATCCCAAATAATTACACTGTGCAGGGTGGTATCATCATCTTATGGTCTTCCACTTTTCCTTTCTTGAGCCAATCTTTGCATTTCTCCAAAACTTATTACATCTCTAACTGTTTGTGAACAATACCCCCCTTAACTCCTGTTTCTGCTTCTGACTTATCTGAACTCTTTAAACATCGAAATCGGCTGTTTGTAATTTTTCGTCTCTTAATTTTATATTATAGATGTACTAACCCTGCATTTACTTCCCTTAATTATATACCTTCAAAAAATTCATTCAAAATAATTAAGATTCTAACTGATAAGTACAACGAAGCAGCGCTTAAAAATGTTGAAAAAGTTCGCCATGGTACTTCTTGATACTGTTTTAAATATAATTTTACCAAATCAATTAGGTTTGAAGTAAGATTTATTCAAATCATTTTCTCCATTTCCTTTATTATCCTTAAATACGCATATATTACAAGTATTGTAAGAACTTTGCAGTAGAAAGTGTCTATAAACGATTGAATTAAAGGTTTTATTTACCATTATCTACACTAGGTACTTTCTAGAAAATACAATTCGATGCAGAAACACATAAACATGGTGATATATGACCAAGCAGTATTGCATGTGAAGACAAATTGGCTTTCAGGATTATATTCCTGTTTGCGTGGCATAATAAGACTGGCATAGAAGCTGTTTTAAAAGTACGAAGTACTTCGGTAAAACTTGTTTTAACCTTTAAAGGAAATACTAACATGATCTGGGACACTAACTAATGTTAAGTAACTGAAGTCACAAAAAATTGAATTACGAAACATATTTAATATAGATACACTCTGTATACTTAGAACTAGCAATTCTTGTCAGACAAGAAGTTCGCGCCGCGAAATCTTTATCTTTTTTTTAATCGACTTTTTTATTCTGGTGTGATAGGTTAAAAATTGGCCCCAACTCTATCTTTCAGCTTTAAACATTCTAATACATGTGGGGCAATTTTATATTTGAAAAGGGCAATTGTTTAAACTACCACACACCAATTAAAAAATCGATAATACAAGCAATCTTTGTCAAAGACAAGAAGTTCACACCGCAAAATCTTTATCTTTTTTTAATCGACTTATATTGTGGCGTGACAGATTCAAAAATTGGCCCAACTGTATATTTCAGCTTTAATAAGATTAATTGTTTTACATTTTAATACAAGTGGGACAATTATATATTTGAAAAAGGCAATAAAAGGCAATTTTTTAAACTGCCACACCAATTAAAAAATCGATAACTTCGCCTAAAATAAAATTATTGGAGTGAACTATTAAAACACACATCAGGGACAGATATTAAAATTAAAAACTTGCAATACTAAATTAATATTAAACATATATATGTAAGTAGATGTAAAATAGACATATTTGTTTTTATAAAAAATTCAATTTTTTAAATATTTTTTTGAAGATATGCGTCAATATAATTTAAATGATTTAAAAATAGAATTTTAGTTCTTCACTTTAATTAAACAAATCTAGTTTTAACACTTTCTGATTGTTTAGTCCGCCATACAAAGCAATTTGTAGGTCACTAGACCTACTTAATTAAACGTAAACTTAACTTACCTGACCACAAAAATTTGAAAAAAAAGTTTTTAGTGCATCCTTTTGTTATTAACAATTAGTGGAACTCTACTTTGTCCTTTTTTTCTGTCACATACACATTTCTAAATTTCCTATTCCGTTTGTCTCTATGCACAAATTAAGTAAAGATGGTACTAAATTTAGTGGGTCGCATATGAACGACAAAAAAAAATCGAAAACAAACGCCACCGACTAAAATTTCGTTGACGAGGTCGATCGCGGTCAGCGGTGAATGAACAAGAAGTTCCTTTATAATAGTAAGTTAGTTGGTTAGTTCGGTACTTCCAGCAGTAATGATACTACGATACTACGTACTTCCACTCCACCAAATAGTCCAACTAACTAGAGCAATAACCCACATTTCTCCCACGGTCTCTTGTACGCACCAAGTACTTCGCTTAGGAGTAATTTATTCAGTCTCTAGATTGCCTTTCTTTTTAATTCGAGCCAATGTTCGTTCACAGGTTGAGCCCGTTTAATTCTGTACATTACACACGCTATCTCCTTCTGCATACTGTCTTTTTTTTTTTGAATTGAACAAAAGTCATAGCTTTGTAGTTGTCATAATGACTTGTGAAACGTAAATCAATTTGGCGCAATGACAAAATGAAAAATTACTTTAGTTCTCTATTTTCAAATCATAAAGTTCTTGAGAATGAATGTTACCATTTTTTCAAAAAAGTCCCCATCAGGTGCTGTCCATTATGCAGTATGTCTGGTACCGGTACGGTCATAAAACAAAATGTAATAGAGCCTGTTGATTTGGCCTATGTGTCATACGAATCTACAGAGAGTGTACCCCAGACGCCCCCTCTTCTTATAATGCATTGCCTTTGTGGCTCGAAAGCCAATTGGACAACAACATCGAGAGCATTGCAAAAAGAGACGAAGCCTCAACGAAAAATAATTGTTGTAGATGCAAGGAATCATGGCGACAGTCCCCACTCTGACTTTCATAAGTATGAACATCTAGCAGAGGATGTTAAAACGTTAATGAATAAGATGGATGTGAAGAAAGCGGCCCTTTTGGGCCATTCCATGGGCGGAAGAGCCATGATGTATACGGCACTTAAATATGTAAGAAAAGACTCAATTTGAACTACCGAAATTACCAATATACGAGATACATCAGTCCCAATTTTTAGCCTGACTTAGTAGAAAAGTTAATCTCCGTGGACATTTCCCCTATAAGAACAACAGAATCATTCAAGGCTGCTGCTCAAATAATGCAGGCAATGCAAAATGTAAAATTTCCAACAAGGGTTACTTTAGAAGAAGCCAAAACGAGTGCTGATATGCAACTGGCCATGTCTATCCATAATAAACTCGTTAGAAGTTTTGTATTAACGAATCTCGTCGAAGAATCAAATGGAAAGTAAGTGGGATCATACAGGAACAGGCTATACTAGTTTGTCAAACCTTTGACCAATTTTTAGGTTTGCATGGCGTGTAAATATCCCCGGTCTTTTAAGAAATAGGAAATATATCTTTTCGTTTCCTGATGTTAAAGGGTTAACTTATTCGGGTCCGACGTTATTCATAACTGGGAAATTGTCCGATTTCGTTCAGTAAGTAGCACAATAGTTACCTATCTATTCACTGTTTACGTGAACTGTTTCTTATTTAGAGAAAAAGACCATAAAGGAATCTTGGAGTTATTTCCAAAAGCTGAATTTCGTTCTGTTGACAATTCAGGACATTGGGTGCATAATGAAAAACCAAAGGAATTCCTCAATATATGTACAGATTTTCTATCGAAATAAAACTGGTAATAAATATATTAGCTATTTCTTGAAGTATTATATATGAATTTGTGCTCATATGTTTAAAAGAGTAAATAAATTCCATCAAAAACGTATTATACAAAAAGTACCATTATTTAGGGACCGTACATAAAATACGTTCGTAAATAAGGGAGAAGGAGGGGTATTGCTTAGCAAAACGAGATGACTAGGAGGGAGGGTGGTGCAAAGAAAATGTGACGTTCGCAGTTCAACAATTTAATTCTTATTTTTCGTTTTCATTGCTATTTTTAATAATAAGAAATCGTTTAAAAGGGGGGGGGCTAGCGTTTGTAAGGTAATATTTGTTAGAGGAGCTGCAAAAGTGTGACGAAGTGGTGGAAGGGGTCCGGCAAGGTGAAATTCTGAGTGACGTCTCTTATTGACGGTCCCTTACCAACAGAAAAAACTTTACACTCTTCATTTGCTTGATTTTATTGTGACAAATATATTTGGAAAAAGTATGGAAAGTAGAACTAATGTGTTGGTCACATCGTGCGGGGATTCCCCAACGCGAATCTACTGTATTCTATTGCGTTACTTCCTTCTAATGATGACTTAGTTTATAATCTCTTGTGAGAAAATTAGGTATGTTAATGTGACAATCGAAAGAAAACTAAAACGGAGTTGAAATGTTATAATCGACTTTATTTATTTACAGTATTTTAGGTCAAAACATAAAATGTTCTTCTTCTACTTAAAGGAACAATAAGGAACAAAAATGTCTCGCTCATCTTCACATTTAACAAACGCCATTTGATGTTAATAATTTAAAATTATACAAATCAATGAGAATTACTGTTAGCTTTCCTAGAATGTTTAGAAATGTATACCGACTTTATATATAATAAGACTACGACATCATCGTATTTTGATAACGACTCAATGTATGTAAATTATTTACAGTTTTAAGCTTATGATAAGGTACATCATTTCATTAATAATCTCACTACGATTGTTATTTTCAGGCATACTTAAAATTGTATGTATGTCAAGCAAAATTACCTAAATTCTGGAAACGAATATAAACCTAAATATCAGCAAATGGTGTAAGGGACTGTAAGAACCCTCATCACATACAAAATAATTTTTATTAATTTTTAAAGGATTCAAAGCCGATATATAGAGTGGATATCGGATTCTAAACATCTGTATTTGAGAAATTAATAGACGGTCATTATAAAACCCTTAAGGATTATTGTAGGTGTATAATAAAAACCTTTTAGAGGATACCAGAGACAACAAAAAATAACATTCAGTGTAAAATTCGTAATTAACAATCAATTAAAAACGAAATTTGTTCCTTTTTGTAGTTAATTTTGGAGGTCGGTGATACTAAGTTGTAGCAGGGCTTAAAAACCGCAATAAATATTAAAAAATATTAATAAACACTATAGTGATAATTATTTACGTTACTACCTATACATCATGTGGCTAACTATTAAAACTAGCACTTAACAGTTTCACTTTGGACCGTAAAACAATTCGAATTTCCTTAAGGGCAATCTCGTGACTACTTTTCAACTGTTCTTTAACTGAGTCCTGTCCGTTCACGTTCAGATTCAAAGCTGCCAAACGATCCGTTAAATTGTCGCTAAATTCCCCTAAATAATTCCAAGCATCCAGTGATTCCTCAATCTTTTGCATCTGCTGCTTCTTGTGCACCGCTACCTCCTGAAGACGATCCCTGAACGCGGAATCAACTTTCTTTTTCGACTTTTTACTCCCTTGAGGCAACTTGAGGAGGTCATGGGCCAGTAGACATACCAACGTTGTCAACGAAAACACCTGAAATGATTTTAATAACATTTTAACGTTATAAAAATAGAATAAGTATTCACCTCTACAGTGTTAACAACTTGCTCTAAAACGTTGGCAGCATTCCAAAGACAGTCTTTAGACTCGTTTTGTACTTTAATTGTCCGACTGATGTTGTCCACTAATCGAGATAAGGACGTACAGACGTCTTTTGATAGGGCTGAAATATCGTCCGTGAAGACTTCAGTTGCGACTGCGCAAAATAAGTCGAAGACGCGAATAAGACACTCGGAAAACGGCAGTTCGAGATAAGCATGAAGATGTGATGGAAGTGGGTAGGCCACGCAAATCTAAACAAACGAATCGATTGAAATTTTTGTTGTTCCTTATAAACACTAAAAGAAAAACGAACCGTTTCGAACATTTTGTAATGCTTTTCTGCTACTTTGGAATGCGTATTTTTCCAGTCTTTAAGAACATCCCTAAGATCCTCTACATGTTTACTTCGAACTCCATCGGACGATTTGACGATGTCCAACGAGATCGAAAAAGAACGAACAAGTAGAAAGCGAAGTCTTAAAAGAGCCATGTCTTGCTCAACTAACAACTTCATATCCAGATTATCTTCCATAGACCCTTCTATTCGCTCAGGATCCCAAGATAAATGGACCGATACATCACGATTGTCTCTAAAAAATGTCCACAATAAAATTCCACTTATTTGACGCTTTGAGGCCTTACCTAAGTTCCTCCCACTCGATTTTATTGTCTTTAGGCACCAAATCAATGCTATAAAGGTTTTCAATCGAACTACACTGCACAAGACTTAAAATTATCTTGTCTACAGCAGTAGTGACATAATGAAGACTATTATTAAGACGCTCGCGGAAGTCCATGAACTCTTCGAGCTTTATAAACGATCCGAATTTATATGAAAATGTTAAATGATCGGAACTCTGTAGAAGAAGAACATTAAAAAGACTTGTTCATAACTTATTTTAACTAAAAGTCTTACATCTTTATAATTGGAAGTAAAAAACTTTAGTGTGGTGTCATATAAACCTGCAGCAAGGGTGAACATGCCCCTTGAATAGAGCTGTGAGCAGTGTATGTAACCTAAAGAGTCCAGCTGTAAGTGTTTAATATCTAAGCTTTCGTACCAGTGATGAGCACCAGCACCACACCCTTAAACGAGTGAACATTATTGAAAACAAACATGAGATTTTAAATACGTCAATCAGCTAATCCGATAGAGGAGGATTATAAAGAAAACTTACCAAGTAAATGATAGAATTTAACACAGAGCAATTTAGCATTAAAATTGCTGGGGCTATTTCGTAATAAATTTTCTAGCAGTACCAGGGCGCACACGAGAGGTTGAGAACTGTTCTGGGCAATTGCTAAGTCATACAATACATGACTTGCCAAGATAGCATAGGCATCCGAAGGACCCGGATCGGTCGGAAGTAAGTTGGTACCATACGTTTGGTATCCGTGTTGATAATGTAACGATAAAGCGGTTACCATAGCTTGCAAATAATCAGACGAGAGGTTCCGTTGGTTCCCGCATAATCGAGATATTTGTAATGAACAGATGTGTCTTTGCATTTGGTGTTCCTAAAAAAATAAAAAATATTAAATGTCATCAGACGGGAGTTTGTGGTCTTGTTTACTGATTTTGGGACACTTGTAGCTGATATTCCAACGTCCCTAAGGAGTCTTGTGGCTAACTCAGATCTTTTATCTGAATCTAATAATTGCAAATATATTTTTAAGTCTGAAACACAACACGATTTGTGTCCGAATTTGTGAAAATATTCAATAAACAGTTCCATAGTTTCTCCTAATAGGTCAGTGGTATCAGTTCCCACTTTAATTAAGTGTGAACACAATTCAAATCTGGCAAGGTACGGGCCTCGTAGTAGATATCCTAAAAGAAATCTTTTTACATAAATTAATATTACTTATATTTATATCTATTTAGTGATATAGAAAATAAGAAAAATCCTTTACTTTGTTTACCATTATCAGCTCCATTCTCTACAATGCTACAAATAAACTCATGAGCCTTCTCTGGTGTATCGTCAACAGAATAAAATTCATTTTCGCCGTTTCCCGCGGAATTTTCAGTTTTTATGTTTTCATCCATGTGATTATTCACATGGGGTTTCGAAGACATTAATTGGAACACTGAGTTAATATATTCTTTCCAAACGTCCCACCTATCCATGCTAAAATGCATACAAATTTAACAAAGGATATTTTTTGGATTATACTACTAAGTTAAGCAATCAACCTTTCTGTAAGAATATTTTTGCAGAACAAATTAACACCTCTCCACCTCTTCATTTTAATTAAATAAGGCAACTTATACATTGTAGGTGGTGAGCAAGTCAACATTGTTCCTAATGGACTTTCCAGTACAGCTAAAGCTTCTTCATACTTCTCCTGCAACTCTAATATTATTAAGTACAATTGTACTTCAGGTTCTGCTTCCAACTTGTCTTCTGTTTTCTGTTTATCCATCATACGTTCTGCTAAACTTAATAGTACTTTCTTCTTTTGGGGATCCCTTTTACCTTGTCCCCTTGTGGCTTGTAAAATAACACTCATCACAGCCCAACAGTAATAAGGATTTTTTGGCTTTAACTTGTATAAATTAAGTGCTGATTGCTGTTGCATTCTAAAGTCCGAAATTCGAACATATGACATGAACAAGTGTGTGTGAAGTTCTTCATTGCTTGGATCAATTTGAATTGCAGTTTGGTATAGGGTACAAATTTTATCCACTGAAATTTTAGTGGCACATTATTTTACTGTATTAAATATAACTTAGAGTTTGTGCTTACAATGTTGTAATTCCCTATAGCACAGAGTAATTGCTTGTAATGTGGCATCATCTGAAGGCTTTTCTGCTACTAGATTATTTAATAATGTTGTGCATTCGGATTCTTTACCAATTCGTAAAAGGGCTAACGCTTTTAGGGCTTTGGCACAGTGTAAGTTGGGGGTCTTCTTTAAAACTTTATCACATTCTTGTAATGCTTTCTTGTTATTGCCAGTATCTAACCAGTCTATAAAACGTTATTTTTATTGAGAATTACTCAAAATAATGCAAAATTATACATATAATAAAGAAAAATAAGATTACGTTTTGCCAGGTTATGTTCTAACCTCAAAATACATTCCATGTTAGGAAAGTTATTTTGAAAGGAATATTTTCAATAAATTTAATATTTACATACCGTAAACAGGCCTTAATCTTCTTTCAACAACCGAATTATCCTGCACGTGTGCCCTTGATGCCATTCTACTATGGGGTTTTGGAACAAAAAAGATGTCTAAACTTCAACACTGAAATTAAACAAATGACCCTGATATTCCATAAAAAAAGATAATTTTTCAGGAAAAGCGAAAATGCAAAATTTGCTAACTACTTCACACACTAAAATTAAAACTGGAAAAATCAAAAATGAATTTTAACTTTGCATTTACTACTTGAAACCATCTGTCTTCACTAAATGGAATTAGTTAATGTTTTATTGCAATTTTAATACACCATGTAATTAGTAGATGTCGCCTTGAATCATTTTTTATTTGCTTTTAATATTTTTTAAACATTTACATTTTCAACAATTTGTATATTAATACATCAACAATGTCATTTTAAGTGGAACACCCTGTATATTATGAAGGTTTTGAGTTCTATTAATGATTTTAGGTGTCTCATAAGTTTTTCCATCATATAAAATTTACAAGGTATTAATTTTTTTTTAAAAAGTATCACATAGCACATACCAGTAAAGAGCGAGAGTGCATGCCTATTTTACAGTAAGATAGATGGAACAATAATATTCCCGAGAGGGATAGTTATACTCTCAAACTTCCCGTCGATAGTTTCAAAGTGGGTTAATTACATACAGAGCGTTAGATTTGGTAAACTTCGTAAAGTTTGTTTTTTTAAAGAAAACACCCTGTACGTATAATCATAGCCTTATGCAAAATTTTATTCTCTTTCGACTGATACTATGGTTCGTTATACCATTTCAAATTGCTTACTGTTACTGAAAGCAACTAAAACCGTTTAATTTTTCCCGCATATGGTTGTTAAATTCTTAGCAGAACTTGAAAAACAAATAAAACAATTTAATTGTTATCACTCAAACACTCATGCTGTCAGTTTAATAATTAAATACTTTAGTTCTCAATTTCAATTATTAAGTACAGTTTTTAAGAAATCTGGATATTGTATTTGAGTCAAGATCGTTTCACATAATTCAATACATTTTTCAGCATTTCCGGATTGAAGTGCAGAATAATAATTGAACTCCAAAATACGTAGTCTATTACTTTTCAAAATTCCAAAACGTTTACTACATTATCTTCGTCTGAGGTGGTAGGTTTTGGTAAAACTTTTTTCGCAGAAATCCGACCATATTGCAAATGATTTCTTAAAATTCTTTTTAATTTCTTCCTACTCTTTGGAAAATGTGCGTTTCTCTCGGTAAACGCTATGCAAGTTTTATTTGTTATTTTGTTACATTCTCCATGAATAAATAATAAATTTTGCATGTAATAAAAATAATGACCAATTTTGACTCGANTTAAAATTTAGATTAAGGAGATTATCATGTATATCACACATTGAAATTATATGGCGGAATTAGAGGTCTTACATACTTCTTTTAAAAACAGACAAAAATTATTGAATATATTAATACAAAAGCCCAATTATATATATTTTTTTAATTAATTAATACTGGCAAAATGCAAAGAATGTGGCAATTACGACATGGAATAGTATGTACTGAAGCATTTTGGTATTTTATATTGAATGATAATTTCATTCAAAAGGCTGTAGCAAGAGGAGTAATCTGCCCCTGCAGCTATAGATCACATTTTGTGCAAGTTATTATTATTGATGCTATATTACATTAAAATTTAGTTGGTTTACAGGCATATACTTCGGTCTATTATGGTGGAAACAAATAAAGTCCACTACTAATAACTTGTGCAAAAATGTGGGGGCACATTATCCCAGTTTACCCAATTTTTGATCTTTAAAAACCCAAAAAAAATATCAATTTACATATAAGAAAGTTTTAGACAGCATTCTAAATTAAATTTCCCATATATTGGAAATAAACATTTCAGAACTTATTTGAATAACAATAATATTTGGCTTTTTTTGCAAATGTAAAGCTATGAACAAAATGATTATCTATTGAGGAAGTTTTTTCACATTTTTGTATGAACACCAGACAAATAACACAATGTTGTGTGTTAACAGCACTTTTTTTTACCCTGCTTGTTACTCTTTCTCAAATTGACAGTATCATTTGATGTGACATTTTGGCGCTCTTTCATTTCTTGTTTGGATCTCAAAACTAACCTGGTTACACTTAAAAACATCTCTTCAACGTTTATATTGTCCTTTGCTGATGTTTCAAACAATTGAATGCCCATTGTGTCTGCAAATCTCTTTGCATCTTCTGTTAATACCACTTTACGGTCAGGACAATCATTTTTGTTTCCCACTATAGACAAAAAGATATTAAATCAAAATTTATATTTTCTAAAAGCAGTTATTATTAGAATATTAAACTTGCCTAATACTCTATTAACTACATCACAATTCTGCTCTATCTCATGTAACCATCTCTTTACATTAGCAAAAGTTTCCCCATTGGTAACATCATAAACTACAATAACCCCATGTGTTCCTCTGTAATACCTTTACAAACCATAAAGTATGTTAATATATTGTTATATATTTATTTAAGCGGTGACTTTCTTACGTGCTAGTAATAGTTCTAAATCGTTCTTGTCCTGCAGTATCCCAAATTTGTAGTTTCACTCGCTGTCCATCAATATTAACAGTCTTTATTTTAAAATCTACCCCTATCGTGGTGATGTAGCTCCCAGTAAACGTGTTATCGGAGAATCTTAAAAGCAAAGAGCTTTTTCCGACCCCTACAATCAAAAATTGCGATAAACGTTAGGTTTAGGCAGGAAGTGCGTTAATTCCAGCCTTAACCCCACCCCACTTACCACTGTCACCTATTATAAGCAATTTAAAGAGATGATCATAATCCTTTGCCATTTTGCACAAACGTGACACTCTGTTCACAAATAAGTCGTGTTAAGTCATGGATCAGGGTTTAATTGTGGAAATCACATCAAATCGACTATTCAAAACGGATCAAAATAAAGGTTGTGTTTCAACGTCTTATAAACTTATCATTGTAGTAATGACGTAATTAACATTCTTTCCTTTGGTATTTTTTAATACAAAAATCACTATAGAAAGTAACTAGTAAATGGATGTAATATGGAAAAACATCTTTTTTGGCATTTGAAGCTTAATATTTATAAAAAACTAACTTGCAAGTAAATGCAAAATAACAGAAACGAATATTAATTCTCAGTTTAGTAAATTAAAAAAAAATTGATTTATTTGTAATTCTGTTTTCATTTTCGATATGTTGACATCACTGACTAGTTGTCACCCTTTGTATATCTATTATCTATGGTTGACACCGTTGACACTGACAGTTAATTAACCTTAAAAAAAGTTGTACATAACCTTTGTTTTTTTTGAAAACTTATTTATTAAGAAGTCCTATATTTAAAAATGCTACTGTATATTAAATTAGCTAGGTCTTTAATAATACCTTTAAATGTTAGCAAACGTATGTTCTGCGCTGTTAAAAACATAACACCCATTTCTTTAGCATATAATAAAATAGATGGAGATCCATCTTTGGCTCCTGTTATAATTGCTCACGGTTTATTCGGTAATAAAACGAATTGGGCTACAATAGCCAAAAATTTGAATGAGAATACGAAAAGAACAACGATCGCGGTTGACCTTAGAAATCATGGTGACAGTGAACATTCATCAGAACACACTTATCCCCATATGGCAGAAGATCTACGTTTTACATTGACGCAATTAAATCTAAATAAATATTCTCTTCTGGGCCATTCTATGGGGGGCAGGACTGTGATGTTACTTGCATTGATGTATGTAAGTGGTAAGATTACATTTCAGTTTTTGTGCAATTAAGGTAGTTATTAGGAAAGTGTGTTTCTTTATAAGCCTTCATTGGAATTTTAGCCAGAACTGATAGAAAAATTGGTTGTGGCTGATATTTCACCGGTTACAGTCAGCCCACAATTAAGATCAATCGATAAGATATTTAAAGCAATGGAAAAGGTAGAATTTCCTAAAAAGGTAACAAGGGCCGCTTGTAGACGAATGGTTATAGAGCAGTTGGGAAGATATATAGACAGTGAAGACCTTAAGGCTTTTCTAGCTACAAATATAACTCCAATGGCAGATGGGTAAAGTTTTTAATCCATTTGATGAAAGATAAAAAAAGCAAATCCTAGTTTTGTAGCTATAGTTGGGCAATTAATGTTGCAGCATTGAAAGAGAATTATGAGGAAATTGCTGGGTTTCCAAAGATAGATAACCAATTTCACGGTCCCACATTGTTCATAGCAGGAGATCTTTCTGATTTTATTCCGTATGTAAAATTAACATTCGTGGGCACCTTAAAAGTATTGTTTTAATGACTTTTAGTCTTGATGAACATGATGGTATTTACAAAATATTCCCGAATGCTTCCATTACCTACATTAACGATGCAGGACATTGGCTACATGCCGATAATCCTAAGGAGTTTGTACGTGTTACTACCGAATTTTTGAATAGTTAATCAAGAATAATTTTTAGAAAACAATATTCTTAGATTATTTATTAGTAGCTAATTTAATTAATACTCATTATTATATACGTTTTTATCAACATTTTGAGTAATACTTGTAAATAGCGTCTTTAGCTTCAGATAATTAGAAGTGTAACTTGTGATATTATATTGAATAAAATTGAATAATTTAAATATAATAAGTGTTATTTATAATTAAAAATGCAATTTATCGCTTTTTAAAAGTTTTGAAACTTTTATCCCCTTCTCATCTTTTCCCAGTTTCATTTGTTCCTAAAGGTTTTAAATTGGTAAGAGTTATGTTGGTATTGAAAACGTTCATTTTTCGTTTTCTTCTTTTTCTTATGTGAATATGGACGGCGGCAAGTTGTTTATGTCAAATTTAGGAACTGGAATACTTAATTAAACAAAAATGCAGCGGAAAGGCTATTGTCTGTTGTTTTTAGTTCTCAGCAATTATTCGTTAGTGCAAAAGCAACGTAAAAACAATGGAGTGTGTGCGAACCAAGACTCGTATTTTAAATATTGTGGACGTTTTTAGTTTTGGGGTTACAAAGGAGCTATTATTAAAACAGGTTTTCGTATAAACAGTATGGCAACGTTTTCCTTAATCTATTGAATTTTGGAGGAGCGAAATCATGTCAAAAGTCGAACAGGATTTAAACAGTTCAGGAGGGCTCATGGAAGTAAGGCATTGCTTCTTTGTTTTGGTGTTTCTAAGGCACCTTTCATTGGCAAAATGGCGACATATCCTGGCATTTACTTACTATTTACAGTAAAAAATTTGCATACTCTTTTTTGGAATTTATTCAGACCACTTGAGTTAATAAAGGAATACAGCTTGAAAAGGATAAATGGCTAGCAGATGCTCAATAATAAAAATACTTATGCAAAAAACAGCAAATGCCTAATCATAACTGCCTTTTTTATTGATAAGATGTAGTTTATATCTGTTCACTGTGTTTGTATGTGTTATCTTACATCAGCACATAAACGTAATCTAGCAAAATGACAAGTGTACAGCTTAATTATATAGCTTTCATTACTGTTGGCTAATGTGAGATTATATTTTAAAAAGAGTTCAGAATGTATGTGTGTTAAATGCTGAATGTTTTTTTAAGCAAATCCAAGCCCTCATTGCCCCTCCAAAGAGTGACGAAAACAAAGACAAGAAACCAGAACATCCTTATTTTAAGCGACCTGGAAAGGGACACAATCATGATTTTTGTGATGCATGTCGTGAAGGGGGCGATTTGATCTGTTGTGACAAATGCCCTTCAAGTTTTCATTTACTGTGTCAGTAAGTGACTGATTATTTGTGGTATCGAAGCATGTAATTGCCTTTTTTCTTTATTAATATTAGTGATCCTCCATTAGAGGAGAAAGATATTCCTACAGGAGAATGGCTGTGTAACAGTTGTCGGCATAAGGCTGCAAACGGTCCTAAACAGGTGCCTCTTCCTGGGACTCCCCAGACACGTAAAAAAAGAGCTGCAAGTACACCAGCAACGTCTAGCTTTAAACCCCAACAACAACAACAACAGCAACAACAACAACCACCCCCTGGTAAAAAATCAAAAAGCAATCCCATGCTGGTTCTTGTGGAAGCTGCCAGCGCTTTAAACCCTAGGGAATTCGAATTACCACGGAGTATGAGTGTCCCGTGTTTATTTCCTGGAACAGATCGTAGTGAGTTGGTCTAATTGGTGGTAAAATGGTACAATAACTTAAGTCATTTCTCTTTAAGTTGAACAACCATATCAACGTAACGCAAATCGCCGTTTTACAAAGACTTTCCACAAGCAGTATGAAGTTGCTGCTGGTGGTATTGTACCGTTGCCTGCGAAAAAGTGTTTTGAATGTAGGAAATCGTGCCGTGTGGCCCCCTTGATAGCTTGCGATTATTGCCCTTTATATTATCACTTGGACTGTTTGGATCCGCCCCTTTCTTCGCCACCTTCTGGGCTGTGGATGTGTCCCAATCATGTAGAACATTCATTAGTAAGAGCAAACATTAAATTAATGATGTATTTGTCGTTTAAAATAGAAATAGAAGTTTTTAGGAATTTATTTTCCTAAAGTATTGCTTTATAGGATGCAAAGATTCTCACTTCCGTTTCGGCAACTGAGAGGATAAAATTATGGGAGCAATTTAACGGTTACGTGGATCAGGACCTGATCAAACTGGAATTTTTTCGAAAAATACAACGAAAAAATCCCCCTTTTAGGTACAAAGTAAAATTAACTCCTAGAAAATGCATAGTCGTGCCACCCATGGTGAAATATCACTATCAGAAACCCGTGGACCTTCTCCCCAGTCTTCGGGACGTTTTACGAGTTCAGCATTATGAAAACAGGCATTCAAACAGCGTCCCCAAGGAATCGTTGCAAGACATAGAAGAAATAGAAGAAAAAGTGGACGTAAGCTGTATAAATAACGGGAGTTTAGGGGATACACCAATATCTGTAGAAGATTATGAACGAACAGATGTTGAGTTGAGTGGTGATAGAGACGCAGTTACTAAAGTCGAGGAAGGTAGTGATAATAGCAGTGTGGAAAGTCGTGATAAAACTTTAAACGAAATAGATAATGATAGGTGGTGTGTGAAAGATGAGAATGAGGTGAAGGAAGAGGTGAAGAGTGAAAAGGTCAATGGCATTTTCGAAATGGATTCTGAAGCAGAAGCAATATTTGAAAATGCACTTTTAACGAAAGGTAAGCATGGGGAACTGGAAAGCAAACTGTACAAATCAGACAAAGTAGTTGTCGTTTTCAATGAAAACAAAGTACAAAGTAGTAGTCGAAACGACACAAACATGGATAATAGCATTAGGTTACGAAATATGGAACAGTTATCGGAAGTAGTGGACAAGGAATTGAAACATACGCTTGAAGATGACGATTGTAGAAATAGAGGAGGCAAGGACGATGTGATTTTATTTAATGGCTATCATAAAACTGATAACGATAGAGACGAGAACTCAGGAGGAAGTTTAACTAATGGCGTTTTCTGTAATGATATTATTAAAAAGGAAGGGGGATTGGAAAGCACTATAGACTTTAATACCGATGGTAAGGCACTACAAATTACCCTCAAAAATTGTCTTTTGTTTTCTTTTTTGGCTTGCTATTTATTTTCATTTAAAAAGTATTTGAAATTTCTAAATATTGTGTTTTTATATTTATAAACCTAGAGGCACTGTAGGCTAAACGAAAAGTAGTAGGAGAATTAGAATACTAGAACACAAAATAAAGTTTGTTAAAAAACAGGAATCGCTTTTTCATATCTCCTGATGATTAATTATTTAATCTGTATGCAAGGCTGACTATTTATATGTAGGGTGATTCAAAATAAGAAAATTTTGTACCCCTAAACTAAACACATTTAAACAAATAAGTCTTCATTAAAACGCGGAAGCAAAAGTCTTAGTAGTACATGCAAACAAATGAAAATACTTAATGTCAAAAATAAGTGTAATTTCATCTACTTTTAGTGTAAATAATTTGGAAGAAATAATAAGAAGAGCAATTTCAAATACGTAATTGCTAAAATACGTTCGTTTCAAAACAAAATTATCTATTCTACTCTGGTACGTCTAATAATTTATTATAAGTTTATTTTAAATATACTGCTGCTTATAGGTTATCGGCCTTATCTTTTTAATCATTTTTAAGTGTAAGCCAAAATGAAACAAAGACAATTACTTTAATATTAAATCTTATGCAAGATTTTCTCATTAAGAATAGTTATTCGAATGAAAAAAACAAAAATTATTTAAATGTTGCTTTGTCTGCAATTTTGGGGATAAAGGGACACACAAGTCTATAAATGTGCTTACACATTACTTGAATGTCCCTTAATTCTCTAAAAGCTTAAGCTTTGTTTTTCGTTAAACAATCCGTTTTCAGTTGAACAAAACTTGAGACAACTTGACGAGCGTCTTTTGAAGCTTCTCGCATATCAGCGTATTCAACAGGTGTTATCTCAGTCTGACCATCAGTCATCCGGTGCCCCGTTTACGTCATTTTTCCAATCGACGAAGCTCTCGAACACGATGCCGCTTCCTAGTGAACTTCTCACCCCCGCGGACATAGAACGTATTACAAGGATATTTTCGAGTCCAAAAAAGGCATCGCCCCCGAAGTCCAACCTTCGGGTGCGTGCGATGCTCTGTCCTGTAGTTTCGAAACATTTTTATAACGTGAGGACGAACGACGTCGACCCTACGGAAGTGCGTCACGACGCAAGTTTTATGGGGTACAGACCAACGGTGAGTACGCGATTCCCGGAAGCCGCCCCTATGCGATACAGGACTCTGAACATCGGCAAGGGGACCGGGAACGACGTCTCGTTGGATTATTATGGTCATTGCAATTACATTTCGCCCAAACACGCTGTTATTTATTACGATGAGGTGAGCAACCTTGGACGACTTATACTCACTTGGAAATAACTAAATAATTAATTATCTTGTCTTTTTTATTTTAGTTTAATAAGCAATACGAGTTGTTGAATTATTCGGGTTTCGGCACGTACGTGAATAACATTTTGTATTCGAACGATGAAACGAACAAAAATGTGAAAAGGGAAGATGTCAAGTCAGTTCCGGTGGAGGAGAAGATCAAAGAGATTGTGGATAAGAAGCGTAAGATTTGCAGACCGCGGAAGTGTTTCGACGCTAAGATGACAGCCCTGGATATAAATCCGATGGAATGTTCGTGCGTTTCGGACACTTTTAAAGAACTAAAAGCGGGCTGGGAGGGGGCGGCGATATTACAACACGGTTCTCTTTTACGTTTCGGATGTCTTTCGTCGTGCCACCCATGGTGAAATATCACTATCAGAAACCCGTGGACCTTCTCCCCAGTCTTCGGGACGTTTTACGAGTTCAGCATTACGAAAACAGGCATTCAAACAGCGTCCCCAAGGAATCGTTGCAAGACATAGAAGAAATAGAAGAAAAAGTGGACGTAAGCTGTATAAATAACGGGAGTTTAGGGGATACACCAATATCTGTAGAAGATTATGAACGAACAGATGTTGAGTTGAGTGGTGATAGAGACGCAGTTACTAAAGTCGAGGAAGGTAGTGATAATAGCAGTGTGGAAAGTCGTGATAAAACTTTAAACGAAATAGATAATGATAGGTGGTGTGTGAAAGATGAGAATGAGGTGAAGGAAGAGGTGAAGAGTGAAAAGGTCAATGGCATTTTCGAAATGGATTCTGAAGCAGAAGCAATATTTGAAAATGCACTTTTAACGAAAGGTAAGCATGGGGAACTGGAAAGCAAACTGTACAAATCAGACAAAGTAGTTGTCGTTTTCAATGAAAACAAAGTACAAAGTAGTAGTCGAAACGACACAAACATGGATAATAGCATTAGGTTACGAAATATGGAACAGTTATCGGAAGTAGTGGACAAGGAATTGAAACATACGCTTGAAGATGACGATTGTAGAAATAGAGGAGGCAAGGACGATGTGATTTTATTTAATGGCTATCATAAAACTGATAACGATAGAGACGAGAACTCAGGAGGAAGTTTAACTAATGGCGTTTTCTGTAATGATATTATTAAAAAGGAAGGGGGGTTGGAAAGCACTATAGACTTTAATACCGATGGTAAGGCACTACAAATTACCCTCAAAAATTGTCTTTTGTTTTCTTTTTTGGCTTGCTATTTATTTTCATTTAAAAAGTATTTGAAATTTCTAAATATTGTGTTTTTATATTTATAAACCTAGAGGCACTGTAGGCTAAACGAAAAGTAGTAGGAGAATTAGAATACTAGAACACAAAATAAAGTTTGTTAAAAAACAGGAATCGCTTTTTCATATCTCCTGATGATTAATTATTTAATCTGTATGCAAGGCTGACTATTTATATGTAGGGTGATTCAAAATAAGAAAATTTTGTACCCCTAAACTAAACACATTTAAACAAATAAGTCTTCATTAAAACGCGGAAGCAAAAGTCTTAGTAGTACATGCAAACAAATGAAAATACTTAATGTCAAAAATAAGTGTAATTTCATCTACTTTTAGTGTAAATAATTTGGAAGAAATAATAAGAAGAGCAATTTCAAATACGTAATTGCTAAAATACGTTCGTTTCAAAACAAAATTATCTATTCTACTCTGGTACGTCTAATAATTTATTATAAGTTTATTTTAAATATACTGCTGCTTATAGGTTATCGGCCTTATCTTTTTAATCATTTTTAAGTGTAAGCCAAAATGAAACAAAGACAATTACTTTAATATTAAATCTTATGCAAGATTTTCTCATTAAGAATAGTTATTCGAATGAAAAAAACAAAAATTATTTAAATGTTGCTTTGTCTGCAATTTTGGGGATAAAGGGACACACAAGTCTATAAATGTGCTTACACATTACTTGAATGTCCCTTAATTCTCTAAAAGCTTAAGCTTTGTTTTTCGTTAAACAATCCGTTTTCAGTTGAACAAAACTTGAGACAACTTGACGAGCGTCTTTTGAAGCTTCTCGCATATCAGCGTATTCAACAGGTGTTATCTCAGTCTGACCATCAGTCATCCGGTGCCCCGTTTACGTCATTTTTCCAATCGACGAAGCTCTCGAACACGATGCCGCTTCCTAGTGAACTTCTCACCCCCGCGGACATAGAACGTATTACAAGGATATTTTCGAGTCCAAAAAAGGCATCGCCCCCGAAGTCCAACCTTCGGGTGCGTGCGATGCTCTGTCCTGTAGTTTCGAAACATTTTTATAACGTGAGGACGAACGACGTCGACCCTACGGAAGTGCGTCACGACGCAAGTTTTATGGGGTACAGACCAACGGTGAGTACGCGATTCCCGGAAGCCGCCCCTATGCGATACAGGACTCTGAACATCGGCAAGGGGACCGGGAACGACGTCTCGTTGGATTATTATGGTCATTGCAATTACATTTCGCCCAAACACGCTGTTATTTATTACGATGAGGTGAGCAACCTTGGACGACTTATACTCACTTGGAAATAACTAAATAATTAATTATCTTGTCTTTTTTATTTTAGTTTAATAAGCAATACGAGTTGTTGAATTATTCGGGTTTCGGCACGTACGTGAATAACATTTTGTATTCGAACGATGAAACGAACAAAAATGTGAAAAGGGAAGATGTCAAGTCAGTTCCGGTGGAGGAGAAGATCAAAGAGATTGTAGATAAGAAGCGCAAGATTTGCAGACCGCGGAAGTGTTTCGACGCTAAGATGACAGCGCTGGATATAAATCCGATGGAATGTTCGTGCGTTTCGGACACTTTTAAAGAACTAAAAGCGGGCTGGGAGGGGGCGGCGATATTACAACACGGTTCTCTTTTACGTTTCGGATGTCTTTCATTCGTATTC